TGATGGATGAGACAGTGCTCAGTTCATGATGGCAGGTCAGATCCCATAGTAACTTGGTGGCTCATGGTGAAGGGTTCAGTCTCTACTAAGGCCCAGTAGCAGGCGTAATGCTGTTTCCCCAAAGGAAAGTATTTACCTGCAGAGGATGGCAAGGCTTTGCTCCAAAATCCTAAGGGCTTGTGCTGCATTTCACCTACATGGGCTGCCAAAGGCTCCAAAGAGCATCGCTATCTGCCACTGACACCATTGGATCTGCTGGATCTTACAGTCAAAGTGGCAGAACAGTTTGCACAGCAGCCTGGACCTGTTGCAGAGCCTTCTCTTGTTCTGGGTCTCACTCAAAACCAGCAGTTTTTCAGGTCACTTGGTAAGTGGGCCAGAGTAACACACCCAAATGAGGAATATGTTGCCTCTGCAATCCAAAGAGTCCCACTAGGCTTTGTGTCCCTTTCTTGGTGACAGATGGGGCCAGATGCAACAACTTAAGCCACCTCAGAAGGGATATCTCTACACTCCCCACACCTCTGGACCCCTAAAAATTACACTGAGCTAGAAGGCCCCTGAATTTTTGTTGGATTTATTTCCTACCCTCTGACATGCAAATGTCTTACCAGTAAGTCCAGAATGGTTGCTACTTCTTGCTCACTAGGTCCAATCAGCATAATGTCATCATTATAATGGACCAGTGTGACATCTTGTGAAAGGGAAATGTGATCAGATTTCTGCGAACTAAATTGTGACATAGGGCTGGAGAGTTGATGTACCCCTGAGGTAGGCCAGTGAAGGTGTATTGCTGGCCTCTTCAGCTGAAAGCAAACTAATTCTGGTCTTGGACAAGGATGGAGAAAAAGGCATTTGCCATCTATATAGCTGCATACCAGGTACCGAGAATGTGTTTATTTGCTCAAGGAATGAAACCACATCTGGTAGGGCAGCTGCAACTGGAGTCAACCACCTGCTTAAGCTTGTGATAACCCACTGTCATTCTCCAAGCTCCATCTGTCCTCAGTACAGGCCAAATAGCAGAGTTGAATGGGGATGTGCATTCAATCGCACCTTTCAAGTCCTTGATGTTGGCACTAATCTCTGCCATCCCTCCAGGAATGCAGTATTATTTTTGGTTTACCACTTTCTTAGCTAGAGACAGTTCTAGTGGCTTTCACTTGACCTTTCCCACCATAATAGCCCTCACTCCATAGGTCAGGGAACGAATGTGAGGATTCTGCCAGCTGTTAAGTGTATCTATTCCAATTATGTATTCCAGAACTGGGAAAATACCACAGGATGGGTTCAGGGATCCACTGGACCCATTGTGAAATGGATCAGCTAAAACTCCATTGATAACTTGACTTCCATAAGCCCCTATTCTTTTTTTTTTTTTTAAGTTTTAAGGTTTTTTTAAAAAAAATATTTATTTATTTATTTTTTGGCTGCATCGGGTCTAAGTTGTGGCAGGCAGGATCTTTTGTTGAGGCGCGCTGGGCTTCTCTCTAGTTGTGGCTTGCATGCATGCTCAATAGTTGTGGTGCGCGGGCTTAGTTGCCCTGCGGCATGTGGGATCCTAGTTCCCTGACCAGGGATGGAACCCGTGTCCCCTGCATTGGAAGGCGGATTCTTAACCACTGGACCACCAGGGAAGTCCCCATAAGCCCCTATTCTGATTGATGGACCACAGTGATGTTTTGGGTCTCCCAGAATTAGTGTTGGTTCAGAGCCAGTGTCTAGTAATTCCTGAAAGGCCTAATTACTTCCCAGTGCACAGTCACCCTGGTAAAGGGCCATAGGTTTCATTGGAGAAGACTGGGAGGAATGTTAACATACAAATTTTTGGTAGTGTGCCAGGGTCCTTCCTCAAGGGCACTCAGCCTCATCTTCATTAAAGATGTTCTGGGTTTGTGAACTGGATCAAGTCTGAGGATTGACTGAGGGGCCGCGACTCTCTATTTTTATGATTCAAGTTAGACTTTTGTTCACTTGACCTAGAACTTTTCTGCTTAAACAGATCAAATAAGAACTTAGTAGGCTTCCCATCTATTTCACTTCTAGGAACACCATGATCAGCTAGCCAATGCCATAGGTCTCTGTGAGTCAGACTATTCTGTTTTTTTGTTTTTTGTTTTCCTGATTGCTGCTTTGACCCTGATGTCCATTATGGTAATGACACCCACCTTGCCTTTGGTGTTTGAGTGCCACCACTTGGCTTGTGCCAACCCGGGATTCAATTACTCTCATTGCATTTAGGTTTCCCAATTCAGCAGTGGCAGCAGTTACTGCTATAAGTTCTGAGCTACAGAGAAGAGAGATCATAGAGCTCCTCCAGGATGCTGGGGTTCCCCTCACAGATTTATTTCTCATAATCATGGCGAAAGTTTTATCCTTGGGACCTCCCAGGATGGGTGAGTAGGTCTTAAATGATAAATCCACTCTACATTTTCATCTCCCTAGGCCTTAGACTCCTTTCCTCAAGAGTAAACCATAGTTACTGTTGAATTGTTTATTTCTCCTTTCAGTTTATCACATTTTGCTTCATGTATTTTGGGTCTCTACTGTTAGGTGCTTTTATGTGTATAATTGTTATTTCTTCCTGATAGACTGAAACTTTTATCATTATATAATGTTCTTTGTCTCAAGTAACAATTTTTGTCTTAACATCTGAGATTAGTATAGCCAGTCCAGCTCTCTTTTGGTTACTATTTGCATGGAGTGTCTTTTTCTCTCCATTTACTTTCAATTTTGTCTTTGAATCTACAGTGAGTCTTTTGTAGACAGCATAGTTGAACCATGATTTAAAAAAAAAAAAATCAGTTCTGACAATCTCTGCCTTTTAAGTGGAGAGTTTAATCCATTTACAATTAGTGTAATTACACATAAAGACTTATTTCTGCCATTTGCTTTCTATACATCATGTCTTTTTTTTCCCAATTCCTCCATTACCGACTTCTTTTGTGTTAAATAGATATGTTTTAGTGTATTATCAAATACACTAAAACGTTTTGCAAATGTGAGTGTATGTAGGACATAAGAAGAGATCCTTAGAAGTGGAATTGCTACGTCAAATGCAGGGCAGGGCATGCATTTAAAACTCTGATAAGGGGGACTTCCCTGGTGGCACAGTGGTTAAGAATCCATCTGCTAATGCAGGGGACATGGGTTCGAGCCCTGCTCTGGGAAGATCTCACATGCCACGGAGCAACTAAGCCCATGTGCCACAGCTACTGAGCCTGAGCTCTAGACCCCGAGAGCCACAACTACTGAGCCAGAGTGCCACAACTACTGAAGCCCGTGCACCTAGAGCCTGTGCTCTGCAACAAGAGAAGCCACTGCAATGAGAAGCCCGCGCACCGCAACAAAGAGTAGCCCCCACTCGCTGCAACAAGAGAAAGCCCGTGCACAGCAACGAAGACCCAACACAGCCAAAAATAAATTAATTAATTAATAAAAATAAATAAATAAATAAAACTGATAAGTTTTACCACATTGGTCTTAAATGCTTCTACCAATTCAATTGGATATTTTCCATAGAGGGCTTTGCATTTTATTGAAAGCATCTGTTGGCTTGTTGGGATTCTCCCTTAAACTGTCTCACTGGAGAGGGGGACCTAATTATTCATTTTTTATATTCCCACATTTTAGTGCACAGGAAGCCAAAAAAGATGTGAAGAAGGAAAAAGGAAACTCTTATGTTGTGACAGGAATATTGGAAAATGAGGAACAATGCAGCATCAGGAACTTTTAGTGTAGCCATGCAAACCAGGAGCCCTGCGAGCTGACTTCAGGTATTTAGTCCCAGAATCTTGGGAAGTGGCAGGTTCTCGAAGACACTTTACGAAAAAGGAAACTGAGGCTAGGAGTTAGGAAATTAATGCTCATAAACTAGTCACTGAACTTTTACTGAGCACCTCCTGTGTGTTGGCATTATTCTCCCCATGGGGAAGACCATGATCACATGGTCAGCCCCTGTCCACATGGAACTTTCCTTTATAAATACTTCTTAAGGGAGTAAATAGTAGCTCATTTATTCCTCATCCCATCTTAATGGCTATTATTTCCCTTTCCCAGATGAGAAAACCCTAGGCTCAGAGAGGTGGAATCACTTGTACAAAGCCACACAGCCAGTAGGTGGTCAAGTCTGGATTTCAACTCAGAGCAAGTACTCCCAATCGCTTTGTTATATAACTGCCTCTGAATAATATTGTCCAGAGCAGCAGCAATCACCATTTCCGCGTGCTAGGCTCTGTGCTAAGGACTGTCCCCATTCATTTATTCAACCAATGCACACTGAGCAGCTACTTTGTGCCAGGCGCCCCCATTTTAAAGATGGGTTAACAGGCCCAGGGAGCTTCTTCGAGAGATGGGGACGCACCGCACCGTCCTCGCCAAGCCTCCCCAGCTGGGTGTTCCACCTACGTAAGGCATTCAGTTGGCGCTCAGTTAACCCAAGACACTGTCGCCGCCTCTAACAACACAGACAACCAAGTCCGCAACCAACCGCTGCCCCAGCGCCACTGAGCAGCGGTTGGGGCCGGACCACGTACTGGAGCGTCTGCTGAGACGGCGGTTGGAAGCCCCGCCCCCCACGCGTGCACGCTGCGCGTCCCGTCGGCCCGCTAGGCTCCGGGAGTCCGGGCGCGGTTGGAGGCGTCCTCAAGCAGTGCGCGCGCCTGCGCCGGTGTCGGGCTCGCGCACGCGCACCTGCGCCGGCGTCGGGCTCGCGCACGCGCACGGCGACGACGGCAGCGGTGGCGGCGGTTCCTGCCGAGGGCTGCGAGGGCGGGCGGCTCCGAAGGAAGCGGCGAAGCTGAGAGGCTCGGCGGCAGCGGCGGCGGTTTGGCGCGCGTGACTCTCGACCCTGCTCGCTCGGCGGCGGGCGTTTTGATCCGTTTCACGGGCGCGGGCGCAGCGGCGGCGGCGGCAGCCCGAGGCCTGCGGCCTAGGCCTCAGCGCGGCGGCGGGCTCGATTGCGGTGTGGAGCCGGCCTGAGAGCTCTACGCGGCGGCACCATGAGCGTGGAGGCGTACGGGCCCAGCTCGCAGACGCTCACGTTCCTGGACACCGAGGAGGCCGAGCTGCTCGGCGCCGACACCCAGGGCTCCGAGTTCGAGTTTACCGACTTCACTCTCCCCAGCCAGACGCAGACGCCCCCCGGCGGCCCCGGAGGTGGCGGCGCTGGGGCCCCGGTCTGCGCGGGCCCGGGCGCGGCGGCCGGACAGCTCGACGCGCAGGTGAGCGGCACATGGCGACGCCGGAAGCCGGGGCTGGGCCTCGGCGGTCGGGGACCTGCCCCGGTTTCCCCTCCAGCCGGGCCCGGGCTGATCTGCTCGGGTCCCACAGTCCGGCCGGGTCCGGAGTAACCTGGCCGGGCATCTCCCGCTCAGGACGTGCCCGAAGTAACCTGCCCCAGTTTCCGCTCTCCAGCCGGACCCGGGTAGATCTCCTTCAAGTTCCGCTCTGGTTGTTTCCCAGTGATCTCAGGACCTAGCTCAGGCCGGGTCTTAGGTGATCTGTCCTAAGTCCTCTTCCGGGCCTGTCCGAGGTGAGCGGCCCTAGGTCCGTCTCTGGCTAGGTTGGGGGCGACTTGTCCCCGAGTTCTCCAGCTGGGTCAGTGCCCTGCTCAAACCAGCTCCGGGGTGATCTGCTCCGGTTCCCCCTCTGGCTGATGCGACCGCCCTGCCCCACTCCCTTACCTGTGGTCGCAACCATCGGGGCACCCCCGCCCCCATTCATGCCCACTGTGCGGCGGGTTCAAATTTCACCGGGCCCTGGGATGCTGGCGAGAGGAGGAGGGTCGAGGCTTCCCAAGCAGAAACGGAATTTTTGCATCCAATCGAGAACCCCACACTCGCTGGCTTTTAAGATTATTCATGAAGCAGTTTGCGTTTTGTTTTTCCTTCTTGCGTTGCCTGTTGCTGAAATCGACCTGTTACGTAACTCCACAGCCCTGCCTTGGAAAAGTTGGTTTTGAGTTTGTTCCTCCAATGGGGCAGTGGTAGTGGGTTTCATATAAATGGTTCTGCCACGTCAGAAAGTTTTGTTCTTAATGATGTGAACATTTAGCGAAGGCTGCTCAGTTGTTTTAAATTTGGGTTTGTGTTATGAGAGTGTGTTGGGCATACACTTCCTGGACCTGGGTCCCTGCCCCTGGGTGGGAGAAGGGGCTGGCAGTGGTCTTGGGCTGGGCTCCCCAGGAATGTAGCCATCTTCCTGTGGATCTCAGATTCCATTTCTGTGCCTGGCACCTCCCTCAGGTTTATTTTCCTGAATTCTCAGCCAGGGAGGAGCTATAGGGTTCACCTTGTCATAGGTGTCCCTTAGCAAGAGGACCCACCGCCAGGGTGCGGGGAGCTAACCCATCCTCAGCCAGAGTGAGCTCAAACCCTGTCCTGGAGGAGGGGGCTTACATTCTAGTTGGATGAGTCATTCCCGTGGGTAGACCACCCACTTGGACTTTCTTTTAGCCCCTAATAGAAGCAGAAAACATTTGACTCATGCTAACCCCAGATTCCTTAAAAATAGAAGCTTGATGGGTGGGGCATCAGGGAGAACAGGTGTGCACCATATGTATGTTTTTTCGGTTTTGTTTACATATGGTGGGGGAAGGTAGGAGAGAGGGGAGACTTTGCATGGAGAAATGAATGAGCCGCTGGAGGCTCATGATAACGCCGGTAGTTTCATACTCTGTAGACCTGTTTCCACAGCTGTAAAATGGGGATAACAGCTATATTTTTGTTACTTTTAAACATACGTGAAATCTGGACTCATGTATGAATGGATAAACCAGATAGTGCTGTCTGTAATTTGTGTCCAGCGTGTCTGGAAGGCTGAGGATAAAGATCTCTTGGTTGAGCAGTGTGCCACGACCCGTGGCAGCTCAGGGTTGTGAGAGGTAATCGTTTTATTGGAAATCCTGTTTAAACTGTAGCCTATAAAACAGCAAGCCTGGAGCAGCTCTGAGTTCTGGTTGGGTTCTTCTTTTTTCTTTTAATTAATAAATAAATATATTTACTTATTTATTTTTGGCTGCATTGGGTCTTCGTTGCTGTGTGCGGGCTTTCTCTAGTTGTGGTGAGTGGGGGCTACTCATTGCGGTGGCTTCTCTTGTATCGGAGCACAGGCTCTAGGCACGTGGGCTCAGTAGTTGTGGCTTACGGGCTCTAGAGCGCAGGCTCAGTAGTTGTGGAGCACGGGCTTAGTTGCTCCGCGGCATGTGGGATCTTCCCAGACCAGGGCTCGAACCCATGTCCCCTGCATTGGCAGGCGGATTCTTAACCACTGCGCCACCGGGGAAGTCCCTGGGCTTCTATTCTGAGTGCCTTTTGATTTTATCTTATTGGATGAGTGGCTGTGGATTGTCAAGTGCTGGACAACCACTTTTGTTTCACAGCTTTACCGAGGTAGAATTCACATACCATACACTTCCCCCATTCAAAGTGTGCAATTCAGTGACTTCAGTACATTCAGAGTTGTGCAGCCACCACCACAGTCGATTTTAGGACATTTTCATCACCATAAAAAGAAGCCCTGCACCCCTTTGCCTGTCAGTCCTCCCTTCTCTAACCCCAGGCAGCAACTAATCTTTCTATCTCTGGATTTACGTACTCTGGACATTTCATATAAATAGACATATAGTATGTGGTCTTTTGTTCTTTTACTGAGCATGTTTTCAAGGTTCATCTATGTTGTGGCATGTATCTGCTCCATTCCTTATTGTGACGGAATGATATTCCACAGCACAGACAGACCACATTTTGTTTATCCACTTACCTGTCGTTGGACATTTGAGTTGTTTTTGTTTTTAGCCGTTATGGAAAATGCTGCTGTGAACGTCTGTGTAGAGGTTTCTGTGTGGACGTAAGCCTTCAGTGAAATTGGTGGGTGGTATGGTAACAACTGCCTGTTGCTTTTTCGGGTGCTGCCAGACTGTTTTCCGGTGTGTAGCCACTTTTGATATCAGTCTTGACTGCCAGTTTTGCACAGTTGGTTTTATCTGAAAGTTTGTTGAGGTAACACATGCGTGTCTTGGCCAGGGTGGGAGAATGGCAGGCAGAGGTGACTCCTGCTGAGCTCTGAGTTGGTTCCAATAACACTTGTTTTCTTGTTTATGATTTGAAACTGATATTTATCAAAGCTCTGACAAATGTCCTTAAGATAAAGGGACAGTTTTCTTTGGGGTATTTGACCCTTTCCTGGCCCCTTCCCCTGCCCCTCAAAGGGCAGGGAAAGGTAATTTTGGAAGTCCTTTGCATGATAGCTGGTATTACAGACCTTCTGGTCTGCCTAGTTGGAATATTTCCCCTTGACTGTTGCTACTCTCGTGTTTCTTCCAAACATTGGAATTATGGTGAAAATCTTAAGAGTTGGGAACACTGCCAAACAAAAAAAGAGGAAATGAACCATTGATACAGCCAGCAACATGGATGCCTCTTAAAATAATTACAGTGAGTGAAAGATGCACTTAAAAAAGAGTATATACTCTTGGATTCTGTTCATATAAAACTCTAGAAAGTGCTAGGTAACCTACAGTGACAGAAGGCAGATCCAGTGGTTGTGGGCAGGGGTGGAAAGGAGAGAGGGATGGCAAAGGCACGAGGAGACTGAGGGTGATGGATGTGTTTGTTACCTTTATTGATGGATTCACCGGTGTTTATGTACATTGATGTGTGTCAATTTATAAAATTAAAAAGAGCTGCTACCTACTCTTCAAAACCTGCTGCCTTCAGAAGTCAGGGAAGGCTGTTCCAGCATATCCTTGATTGTCCAGGTAAACAGATCATCTTCTGCTTCCTGGCCCTCAGCTTATGACGAGGTGTGAGTTCCATATAGTTCCGGGATTCCTAAAAGTGGTGATTTTAAAATTTGAGTCGGCCTTTTTTTGTTCCGTGAACACTCAGTACAGCTGTGACATAAGTACACCTTGAGAAAATTGGAGATGAGATGCTCCTAACCTCACAGGAGCTCTGGCATGTGTTCTACCTGTACTTTCCTCTTACTGGATTTCTGGCGTTTGGTTCCAAACCCCCGAAAGGGAGGGCTTACGTGTCAGTTACTGCTTAATAAGCGAAATAACTCCTAACTCTATTTACCCAATTAATTTTGTTACCCAGATTCAGCATGATTGGGGGGAAAAGTCAACACTAATACAATACCAATATTAACAGCAGAACAAAGTTCTCTATCAATCTAGCTCCCACAACCGAAAAAGAGAGGCATCTTTCTAATAGCTTTACTGGGCTTCCCTGGTGGTGCAGTGGTTAAGAATCCACCTGCCAATGCAGGGGACACGGGTTTGAGCCCTGGTCCAGGATGATCCCACATGCCGCAGAGCAACTAAGCCCGTGTGCCACAACTACTGAGCCTGCACTCCAGAGCCCGCGAGCCGCAACTACTGAGCCCGCGTGCCTAGAGCCCGTACTCTGCAACAAGAGAAGCCACTGCAGTGAGAAGCCCGTGCACCGCAATGAAGAGTAGCCCCCGGTCGCTGCAAGTAGAGAAAGCCCGTGTGGAGCAATGAAGACCCAGTGCAGCCAAAAAAAAAAGTAATAATAAAATAAATAAATGATAGCTTTACTGAGGTATGGTCATATACCAGAGTCCTCTTGTTTGTTTTTTTATAATTTTTACAATTTCTCACACCTTGATCTGGGTCATAGATATAAGCAGGTAAGACATCCTTTTTTTTTTTTGGCTTTGCCAAGCAGCTTGCGGGATCTTAGTTCCCCGACCAGGGACTGAACCCGGGCCCATGGCATTGGAAGCATGGAGTCCTGACCACTAGACCGCCAGACAGTTCCTGAGGCCTCTTGTTTTTAAGTGTTCACTTCAGTGTTTTGTGTTTTTTTTGTTCTTTTTTAGTAAATTTACTGGGCTGTGTAGCCATCCCAACAGTCACTCACTGTCCTGAGTTCTCTTTCATGCCACCTTTCCTTTCCTCTTCTATTTTTGCTCCTTCTAATCTTGGTAGTTTCTTGTTAAAGCTCTAAGGTAGGGAGATCAGGTGACCCCGTGCTTCCCACTCCACGTCACGCACTGGGGAGATGTGGTGCCTCGTGTGCTAGGTAGGTTCTGTGCTGGGGTTCAGAGGTAGGAGCTGAGGCTGGCCGCACTGCTCCCGTGGTGAGCCTGGGAGCCCTCATGTGTCTGTTCACGTTTTGTTTTGTTCCCTCTGCACAGACTCTCAGGCTGACCTCCTCAGCCTGGTTCTCAACTCCCGTCCTCTCAGTACTTC